TTAGATGAGAAAATGAACGATTAAGATGGGTTAGCATAGTTTGCACAAAATATTGGGTTAGTATTTGAACCAGCCCCTATATATATATATATATATATATATATATAATTGATCACGTGAGAGCAGTCTGTTTTCGTAAGAACCGTGAAGCTACTTTTTTTACTGTGAGGATTTGGATTTTTTTTACCTTATGAAAATAGGCTGGTCTCACGAGATCCCAAATATATATATATATATATATATATATGAATGATAAGATTCGGAGAGAACCCTAAGAAAATAATCAAATAGCTCATTGAAATCGTTGATTGGGGTATTATAACGGAATCATGTTTAATAAAAAAATTACCCCCTTTTATKAAATGAAAATCAACGAAATATAACGAAAATAGGAGCGAAACAAATTATACCTGTAAAAAACGATCATTTTATTATCTTTAATTTTACATTCTTTTTGATATATATAATTTTTCATATGTTTTTTCTGTAGTTATTTGGTTCTCTCTTGTTCTCACGCCATCTATATTATTGATTGAGGAAAGTGGGTGGAAATTGTGTAAAACCATAGGTGGACGCATAATTGGATGTTTTCTTATTCATTTTATGGTCGGGTCACCCCTCTACCAACATGACTTCCTTCTCCAACAACCAGGAGGTTTCCTCTAACAAGTTGTCAATGTAGCTACACCTATTTAAGCAAATCGCTTCGCACAAACACAAACTCATCACATCTCTCAATCTCCCTGTTTATATCTGCTTTCCTAAAAAGAAATATATATGGGCCAGTCAAGCTATTCAAATTTCTCAAGCTTGTAAAATTGCTCTAACAATTTCATTAGTACTATTGATCTAAATAATTTTTGTAGTTGTAGTTTCTTGATAAATAACATACCAGTAAGGGTATTCAAAAATCATGACACTTTTGGAGTTCCATTTTCCAAGAGTCAACCCATGAGGGTGTATGCAAGCCTCTGGAACGCAGATGACTTGGAAACCCAAGGTGGGCGTGTGAAGGCAGACTGGATTAATGCTCCTTTCACTGCTTCCTACAGGAAATTTAATGCTAATGCCAAAAGTGTCGGTCCGAACTCAAAGACAACAAGCTCCAAATCTGACAACCAGACATGGAGTACTCAAGGACTTGATGCAGTTGGGTGACATAGAATTAGATGGGTTCAAAACAAGCACATGATATACAACTATTGCACCGATCATAAACGGTTTCCCAATGGTCTACTTGTTCAATGCCAGAACTCTAGATTCCTCTAGGCCTGCGTTGGATCTTCATTTGCATATTTAATTTCATCTTTTGAGTAATATTAGATGCAGATTGTGATTATTTGATTAATACAGAGCTATCGTAATCACTGTTCTTAGACCTCAAAAGTCATTAATTCCTCTTATTGAAGTTGCACTAGGCTAAATATTTTTGAGACGTAGTTATTTTATTTAATTTGTTTTTTTTTCATTATTTCTTTTAAATAAATGCATAATGCAATGTTTTCAGGTAATTGGCAAATTTTTATTGAAACTCCAAATGGTAGAAAAACTATTTCCATGAAGGCCGGTTGGGAGTGTTAGAATCAATGCTAATATGACATTCACTCTTATATGTTCGATTGGGTAATAAATCAATATCAGCCCATTAAAATGAGATTTTGTTTGTTTTTTATGACATCATTAAGAAAAGGATACAAGCTATGGAAAACAATAATTTCTTTTC